CAGGAAGGGAACACCCCCCCCCAACATTGGCAGGGCAAGCCACTGTATATAAACAGAGAGCAAACCCCACTCCATTCTAGCACTGAAGATGTTACTTAGCCGGGTAACGAAATGTTTGCAAGAAAACAACCAAGCTCAGAGAAACCCAAGGATTCCACAATTCAACCCTGAGCTACGTATATTCTCTTCTATTAGCCTATGTTATATTTAATTGGGTAATGATGGCAAAACTTACCAGTATATGGGGCAGTCAGACCAGATGGCATATAACAATTATTGAATAAAAATGGCCTTCATGCCATCACAGACCAATGCACAAGTCATAAACAGGAGAGCATTTTAACTGGGACAGGATGGGAAAGGTGCTGAATTAGTAAGAGTAGGATGCCATACTGATCACGCTGGCCAATCAATCAATCAATCAATCAATCCCAGTTATGGTTACTGCTTTCTTTTCCTCAAGCTCTACAAGAACTGGGGAAGGAGAGAGGTCACAGTTCCATCCTGCCCCAAAGCTCCTGAAGAATAGAGACATCACCATCAGAAGATGGAAAAAAGCTCCAGTCAAGAGCAGTAAGTTTCATGCTCATTCTGCCTTCTGGGGGGCAGAGAACCTCACCCCTTGAAACTGGCCAGTAGTGAGAATGGAAGGACAAGCCAAAGTAGCTGCTTTGGAATAAAGTCAATTTACCAGCACAATCAAGAGAGAGACTGTTGAGCTTAGGTACATTAAAAAGTTTCAGGCCATCTCAAATCAACCAACACAATGGATTTGTAACACTTCACAGTTGTGAACTGATAAGGTATTTGTCTCACATATAATCTCTATAACCAGCTGGTCTTCCCCTTCCTTCCTCTCCACATCCTGCCTCATCCCAATTTAAAACCTATCTGCTCAATGCATCAGAAGAAATGAGAAGTGAGCTGTAGCTAAGAAAGCTTATGCTTTTTACTAAAGTGTGTCTGAAATTAGTCTGAAAAGGTGCTGCTAGATTCCTTCTGACTTTTGGCTACCATAGATCTCTTCCTACAATGTCCTCATAAAAGTAAACACGCCCTCAAGTTGAGCTTGACACTTGAGAGTGCATACATGCAGTTTGACTGGCAGAGTTGTGGAAAAGGCCTGCTACTGATTTTTTCTAGGATAGTTCCTAGGTTAGCCAACAACCCTGGAATTCCCAGGTGGCTCCCCATCCATGTTCTAATAGGGTCTCATGCCCTTGTCAGGTCAAGGTTGGACTACTACAAAGTACCTTACGTGGGGCCGCTGTTGGAAACTATTTGGAAACTACTATTAATAGAGAGTATGGAAGCTCAACTGTTAGTGGGTAAAAGCTGCTACACCCATGTGAGAAAAGTTTCCAGGTACCATCTGTATGGTCCTAATCATGGTTGTATTTAGAAAAGCAGTTAAAAAGAAACCATCTTGATCTATTCCTCGAGACCTTTGGATTGTGACTGAAATATTGTCCATTGCTAGGAGCCATTGTTATCTTTTTATTTTTGAGGATTTTTTTTCTTTGACTTGTATCTCATTTTTGATTGATTTAAGGCATGTTTTAGTGATATTGTTCGATGTTCTTGTTTATATGTGAGCTGCTTGGACTTGTTCTGGAATATGGCAGTATATACAAATTATAACAAATAAGCACATAAGCTGGGTCAACTCTGCTTAGCTTCCAAGGTTAGCCTAAGTTAGCTAATATTACCAGATGTTGGGGCATAGATTTAATAGATTTCTCCTCTGATCATGTTAAAATATACAAATTTGAGGAGCTCTAGAGGGGTGCATGAGAGCCAGTTTGATGTAGTGGTGAAAGCACCAGACTAGAAACCAGGAGACCTTGAGTTCTAGTTCTACCTTAGGCACAAAGCCAACTGGGTGACCTTGGGCCAGTCCCTCTATCTCAGCCCTCGGAAGAAGAAGAAGGCAAGGGCAAATCACTTCTGAAGTCTTCCCAAGAAAACTGCAAGGACTTGACTAGGCAGTTGCTAGGAATCAACAATGACTTGAAGGCAACCCCCAAAAAGAGGAAAAGGGTACATAAGACTTCTGGAGTACATACAGTTCTTGGATTCTGCACCTCTAGTCTAATGACATTTGAATAGTAAATTTGGTGATCTTATTGTCACCTAGCTGTCAGGTTCTTTGGTAACTGCCTAAAACCAAAAAAAGTCTCTTTTCTGAGCAGGTTTCTCACAGAGTTCTCTTTAACAAGATTTATTGAGATGAAAAAGAAGGGATTACAAAAATTCCAGCAAATTACTTGAAAGTAACCTTTAATTTAGAACCAATATATCAATATATATCCCTACATACATGATCCCAGAGAGTATATAGGTCTAGGTCTCTTCATTGTTGATGAGAAAGCTTGCAGCTGGGTGTTTACTCTCAGTCTCCTGGAACTTTATCAGTATGGGAACCAACTCCTACTATAATGATGAAACTATGCATGATGTTCGATGACTGAAATGGCAACCTTAATCACATTATTTTGCCTTTTCCTCTGATCTACAAATGTTGGTTCCTGCATTGATATTGCCAACTATAGGAACTACACCAAAATGTGTACTGTTTCATCATATATGTGAATATACATGGCAGGCCCCAGATTTTCTTTTCTCAGTCAAATATCTCTATAATTACAACTATGGGTCTACATCTGTTTCAGACCCGGCATTTCTGCTTACCTTAATTGCCTTTGCACGAATGATTAGCCCATCCTGTTGTGCACTTCCAATGAGTAGGTCCATCTTCAAAGGTCGGGAACGTTGCAAAGCTGCTGGAAAGGACTCCTGCAGGTAGGATCCATCAACAACTGGACCCCAATACTGGAATGGCCCGCTTATGGCTAGCAGCTACACAAAGAACCATAAAAAAGTTAGCATAGGAGTAGAAGGAGAATGGAGTAAATCTTATGCATATCAGGATGGACTGAGAAGTAGGGCAGAAAGCATAAATGGCCACTGGTGGTAAATAAGAAAGAAAACACCAATATAATCTTACTGGTAACTTTTACTAGAGGCAGACAAGCTTGGGAATTGCTTGTGCAAATCAGGTTTGTATATTCATGGTTAATGTCTAGTTGTACCTGGAACAGTTCAAGGACATCATCAGCTGAACTTACAAGAGTTCCTGATGTCCTTTGTCCAGCAATGCTCTTGTATGGGCCTGGATAAGCCATTCAGTGCCTCCAGAAAGTGTGCTTTGGGTAAAAGGAGGAGTTCCCTTCCTTCTCAATTGCTGTTCACTGGTGTTCCCCTCCCCCACCTCATCTCATCAGCTAGCACCATAAGAAAGCTTTTGGTCATCTGCATCTTCCTGGTCCATCTTCAGTGACATAACTATTGTATAATTTGGATTGTGGAGGTCTGAGCTTCTGTTATAAACAACAATCCACAAAGCACTCTCACCTTCTAAACTATCAATTTAAATCTCTTGACGCTCAAGAGATTTTATACCCAAAGAACATCCAATAATGAGCTAAATAAATATACTGCAACCAGACCTGTTTTCTTTTTCACTTAGGTATTTTTAATGTTCAACCATTAGATTAAAGTTATTCTATTTCAATGGGTGGGGGGATGGTGCCAATGAACCAACATTCAGAGTCCAGCGAAAATATTTTTTCTTCAGAATATTTTCAGCAAATATTCAGAGTTAGTCATTACTTACTTTCCGAGGATCTTATTTTGGAATAAGTTCCATTGACAGTAGTAAGCCGTACTTCTGTGTAGACATCTACTCAGTAAATGTGTACAGTTCTCTGCACATTTGTTCATTGATCTTTAATTGGGAAGGCACTGGCCTTGATCTCACCAGTGCCATCCTTACTAAGTACAGGTGCCATCCTTACTAGAATAAACCTCAGGGAGCACAAATGTGGAGGAACAACTTATTTCACCTCTTCTGAGTTAAATGAATCCATAAAATTTTATTTTCCTTAGGAAGGAATGCTTCTTCCAAATGCTTCTTCCAAATGCTGCTTGCAACAATCTATGTACTAGCCACAAGAAGCACTGAAGATGTTACCTAGCCAGGTAACGAAACATTTGCAAGAAAACAATCAAGCTCAGAGAACTCCAAGGACTCCACAGCCAGTTAGGTCTCCAAGTCCAATCTCTACTTAGTGCAGAAATCCATACTGGACTATCCCTGACAAGGAACTATCTGATCTCTGCTTAAACAAATCCAGAGAAGTGAACCTCTCCATATCCTTTAGTTGAGCTACCCCTATCATTTAGACCATTTTTGTCCAAACTTGGCCACTTTAAAATGAGTGGAATTCAACTCCCAGAATTCCCCAGCCAGCATGGC